TTCACTATTTCACTATTTCGCACTATAGTCACTATTTTCCACTATTTCACTACGTTCACTACTTCACCTACTTTCAGCTACTTCACCTACTTCACACTCACTATTTCACTATTTCAACCCTTCACATATACTCACTTCATATGCTTCATCTTATTTCACTGAGCTTGCTTCACTATCGTGCCACTACTTCACACTTCACTACTTTCACTCTTCACTACTTCACTACTTCACTACTTCACTTACTTCACTACTTCACTCTTCACTACTTCACTACTCACCTACTTCACTACTTCACGACTTCACTACTTTCACTACGTTCACTACTTCACTACTTCACTACTTCACTACTTCACTACTTCCACTATTCACTATTTCACTATTTCACTATTTCACTATGTTCACTATTTCACTATTGCACTATGTTCACTATTTGCACTATTTCACTATTTTCACTTATTTCACTATTTCACGTATTTCACTATTTCACTATTCTCACTATTTCACTGATTTCACTATTTCACTATTTTCACTATTTCCTATTTCACTATTTCACTATTTTCCACTATTTCACTATTCACTATTCACTATTTCACTATTTCACTATTCACTATTCACTATTTCACTATTTCCACTGATTTCACTATTTCACTATTTCCAACTATGTCATATTTCACTATTTCACATTTCACTATTTCACTTTTCACTATTCACTATTTCACTATTTCACTATTTCACTATTTCACTATTTCACTATTTCACTTTATTCAGCTTTATTTCCACTGATTTACACTTCTCCCTGCTAAATATATAGGCACTTATCACTATCACTATATCTGCGGACACATCCACATTTTCATCTTTTACTTTCTCACCGCTTAACGAAATGATTCACCTATTTGCCGATCATATTGTGCGAGCGTGCTTATTCACATATTTTTACACCTATTTCACTATTACCTACACTACATTCCACTCATCCTTCACTATTTGCACTATAGAATCACTTATATTCTCGACTATTTCAACTAGTATATCACCATATTTCGACTCGTATTTTCCACTTATTTCAACTATTTCACTAGTCTTCGACTATTTCCAACTTCAGCTATCAAAAGAGGGAAGTACCCGTCCATTTATATATACTTAGTACATGATATTAGATGTATACAGAATTTATACTCGAGTCGAGATTATAGCGGCACACTGAGGGTCTTTTCAGAACCTAGGAAGATATTAAAGGTAAAAACGACACAACATACTAAGGGAAAGATTCTTCCGAAAATTGAACAAAAGTGCACCGTTCACGTATAACATTAAACAGCATCGATAGTCGTATAGGTACGCAAACATGATGTGAAAAAATAAAAATAAGAGGAAAAAAGAGCACAGACATTGAATCAGTGCTCATGGATCTTTAATCTATTCAATAATGAACAAAGGAAATGGCATATATAGACTCCTTCGTAGAGATACCACACTCTAGGGCAGAAGTCTGAACACTATCAAAAAACGATTTTTGTTCTTTTTTCACCCCCCTATCAATGTTTATATAAAGATAGAAATGATGAATATAAAGAGATGAAAATGAGAAAAGTGCAAAACAATCTTGACCAACACAGGCGATCGAAATATGAAACAACTAAAATGGTATGGACCATAACATCATAGAAGGTTGAAATCGGCTAGAACTTCCTCAAACAGATTTGGGAGTGGAGATCAAATCGAAGTAACGATTTACAGGGAGGAAGACGTGAAGAACCGTCTCTCGCTTAATGGCAATAACTGCAAGGGAGAGCGAAAACAGAGAAATGGACGTAGAAACGATCCTATGGGATAAAGAGGCACATAGCGACACAATTAGGGATGCGAAAACGCGAAAAGGCCATAAAAAAAACCTCTAAATATATACAGTATATCTGATTGTCCTTTACTACGCAAATTATTATGGTATAATATTTTGTGTAGCAACAAAAAATAAGTATACTCTAATGACTCACTAGTAGAACATCTCGACCAAAAGTAGCGTTCCCACAACTCTTAAGAACCCAAAAACTACTATCTCGCGCTGCATTACTGCGATAGCCTCATCCAAGACTTCAGCGGTGACACGCCCGCTGTATTTAAGGTAGACTTTCACTTCCCGAGTATGCAGATGAATGCGGACTGGAGGCGTCAGTGCATAAATCGAAAATTATTTCCAGGGTCCGCCAAGAAAGAAGAATGCACTATTTTATTAGTAAAACTTAGAATTTTAATATGTAGCCAGATAATATGAGGCATACGAATGCGCATTTAAAATATTGTAGTTTATATAGAAAAAATTGACCTGGAGATTCCAGGTTTGAGTCCTGATGTTTGACTGATTTTCACACTAGGCTGCCAATTAGTCGAATCAGGGTCACTCTGTTAATCAATTTTAGCGAACAGGTTGTCGGATCGGTTATTTTCCGTGATTTCTCCGACCAAACCCCGGCGATGCCGCGAGCAAACGCGCCAGAGACCGCGCGCGACTTTCCTTTCGATATTTCTTATACTATCTTCCACACTTATACACACTTACACTAAACATGCATATACACTACCACACATGCGCGGGAATCGATCGGGCGGGAGCTTAGAGCTTGTCATCGAGCTGCGGCTGGTGCCCCCATTGGAGGGATGATAACCTGGTTGGGAGAAACCCCCGTTAGACCAATTGTAGGTCGCGCCGGATCTCGCCATACAACCGCGGATAAGACCACCGCCACTTCCCCGTATATCTCTGTCAGAACCGGCATCATGCATTGCACTTCGCGGTATTAATGTCCCTAAGTACTTGACGTCGAGAATTCGCCTAACGTCAATCCAAATCCCAACAAATCTCTCGTCTTCTCTTTACGTTAATTTATCATGATCCTTCTGTAACATAAACAGGTCATTTGTAACGTGTAGAATACACCCCATCAATTCATGAAAATTAAAAATTTGTATCCATTTCATGCGAAGAATTTATTTAATATTATTACATAATTTTATTAAAAAAAATTAAAACGAAATCACAATTACACATGAAACATTATATTCTTATGAACGTAAAAGAAATCTGGGTTGACCGAAAACACGCTTACTTCATAATAGGGAAAGTACTAGCCACATAAACAATTATAAATAAATACTAGCAACATAACACTTTAAATAATCAAACAATGATTAACTTAAAAAAATTTAAATTAATGAGTTGCGTAACGTTTCAAATATTATTATTATTATTATTATGGGATTATTATTATTTCTCAGCAGGTCGTTGCTGGGTTGAATTTGCCTATTCCTGTCACGTTAAGTAAAAGAGTCGGTCACTGGGAAAGAGACCGATATGGGAGCCCTCATTGTTCCTCGTTGAGGTGAATTCCATTTTTTCAGATTTTTCCTGAAATTGGTTGCTTACTAGACCTTCAGCCGAAATAGCAAGGGATATATGTCACACTCTGTAGATTCCTCTTCAGTTTTATTTCCAGAGCAGTTCTTCATACCTTAGTAATTTTCTCGCTCTGTTTTCTTTAGGTTGTGTGTCAACGTACGGCAAATCACAAGCGTAGCTTTCTTTTCTTGTCCCTGGGGAATGAAAGCTATATCTGCGTCTCTGAATTGCACAGTTTTTATCTGTTATTAGCCGGCTGTTCTAGTTAAATGATGTTTTATTTCCTTCCATTACAGGTGCTGCGTTGCATTGATAATAAAGAGAGAGCTCCACTATTTAATATTCATGGCTGAGAAGCCAATTGTTGCATGGGCCAATCTTAGCTAGTTGGGTTGTATCCCAAGTACGCGCAGTCGGCAAGTTGCAGTACTCAGCCTTTATATGCTCGATTTGGTTCACCCCACTGTTGCTTGCATTTCCTGCATGTGTCAACCACAGGCATGTTAATGCAATGTTGTTCGTCGTTCCTAGTTCGGCTACTCTATTTTTGAAGAGTATGCCGAACTATGGAACTACTTTTGCAAGGAATGGGTTGAAGTGTTGGTATGTCAGAAATTGCCCAGATTTATACGTAAACGTTTGAATAATATTTGAATCATGCTGTGGTAATATGGAAACGTTCTAGGAGTAATATGTCTTGTTGTAGCACCACTAATTAATAATTTTTGAAGCACGAAAATAACCATTATTCAAAAGTTCATATAAAATTAAATGTTGAAACGAAAATTGTTCGTTAAAAAAATATCTTGAGGTAATGTCCGTCTTATCGTAGGTGAAAATATGTCTTAAAAGTGAAGAAATAAGCATTGCAAAAAGTGTACTTAATGGTTCGACATGACAAAAAAGAGACAATAAGTTGAGGAGTTTGAGAATCAAAAGCATAAGAGAAGTTAATTAGAAATGTAGAGCTTCAGTTAATAATGTTTGACTTTCGTGTGTTATCTTACTTCAGTGAAGCCATTAGGTTTAGTGATGCGCCGGAATTAAAATGCCTCAGTGGAGAAGTACATATTAATTTTTGAGGAAACACCTCTTGTGTTATGCTCTATGGGGTGAATATTTTGAGCAAATTTCACAAATGCAATAAAGGAGACCACTTTCAAAAAACAGCGACAAATGGAGGAAAGATATTAATCTAGTGAATTGTTTTTAAAAATAATGAATTTCTACGCTAATTGAGGCTGTATATAAACAAACAAGAAGCTAAACACGTTTTCACTATCTTTGAAGCTATTGAGTAATGTTAGTACACAACATTGATGTGGTCAAGGGTTTCGAAACACGTCTGTATTCTAAACATCGGTGAATGTGTCTCAGTAAATTTGGAGGCCTCGTGTACATGTCACAAATTACATATCAGACCATGTTTCCCGCGCGTGATAATGATCTCGTGGTGAGTTGTTAATTCAAGCGACAACATTCAATGCAGATTTGCACAAGCGTAGATGCTGAACAGGATAATAACCTTGCTGTGGGCCTACGTCGACAGTATGCTTGTATTATGTTCGGTTCCCTTAGACAGTGCTCTTGAAGATGGAGAAAGAGGCTGATGGATGAAAAGAAACTTTCTGTTATATTCTCCGAAACAGAGTGAGTGGAGTTTATATAACAAATAGAGAGACCGTATTGAAAGTAGCAATATCGAAGCCAACAGAACCTTCAATCAAAGTTTCAGATGTAATCATTGTTTTG